TGTCCTCAATTATAGTCTTGGCCTTTCTTCTGATCTGCAATATATTTACCCTATTTTCCTCTCAAACTTGTGGTTGCAAATGTTTTTAATTTGCTCTTAAAAAATATCTTTCATCTTACATCATTTATGCCTTTTTTTTTTACTCTTTCTTTTTGTTAATCATTTTAAAGTTCTCTTTTCTTATCAGTGTGTATCTTCCACTCTTCCACACATTTCTTCTTTCTATTTTGTCCTAAATTCATACTTCTTCTTGTAGATTTCTCATTTCCTTAAAAAGATAATCGTAAACACTTCCAAATGCTCTATATATATTCAGTCTTTTCATCGTTTACAACAACCATAAGAAGTAAGGACAATTTTATTCCTATTTTATAGATGAGGATACAAAGGCACAGAGAAGTTGAGTGACTTACCTCAGATCACAAAGCAGTAAATGGTGAAGCCGGATTCTCACCAGGTAGTTGAGTCCCAGTATCTGTGCTCTTAACTACAGGACTATGGAATCTGTCTTCCTAGACTGCCAATTAAGTATTTTGGTTCCTTTTTTTTTTTTTTTGATAATAACTTCTCTTTTATTTCCTCTTTAACAATTTTCTCATTTTCAAAGATTTTGCTCATTCTACCAGTTATACTATTCTTCATTAAATTACTTCTTGCTAGCTCCTTTATCAACATGAAAACAATTTTCTTTCTAAACCTCCTATGGTAGATTTAAAACACCCCTCTCAAAAATAGCCATTTCTTAATCTCTGCAACCTGTACATGTTGTTTTATAGAGTTGAGAATCTTCAGATGAGGAGATTATTTTGGATGATAAACCATGCTGACCTTGGAGATTGGAGTGGTGTCACCATAAACCAAGAAATGTGGTAGTCCCCAGAACCTGGGAAAAACTAGCAATGGATTCTCTCCTCCAGCTTCCAAAAGAAGCACAGCCCTGCTGACACCTTGATTTCTACCTAGTTGGGCTGACTTCAGACTTCTGGCCTCCAGAACTGTGAGAGAATACATTTCTGTTGTTTTGAGCCTCTTGGTTTGTGGTAATGTTACAACAGCTGCAAAAAAAAAAAAAAAAAAAAAAAAAAAAACAACGAAAAAACACACACACACACACACAACCAAAAAAAACCAAATACACTCCTTCTCTCAGTTACATTGTTAAAACATTTCACTTGTTGCCTTCTTTCATGGAGAAAAATAATTTTAGTCATTCATGTTAACACACATTGTATACATGCCTACTTCGTGCTAGGCTGTAGGAATAAACAGGTAAAATAGACAGTGTCTTTATTCTGAAAGAGCTTGGGGCAATGGTGGTCAGTGCTGGGAGAAGTAATTTCAAACACAATACAATAAAGTATATATTTTGAAAGTGAGAAAGACTGGGAGATCACACAAGAGGGATGTGAACTTGACAAGACCAAGGCTGGCTTCTTCATGGAGGTGATGGGAGGGAAGAGTAAACTAGACAGAGTGGTGCTCCAGGCAGAAGGAACAGCATGTGCAAAGACAATTAGTTCCTCTCTCACGTCCTCACATCTTAAGACACTCTTATTTCCTTCAGTTAGCTGATAAGACCCATAAAATGTCACTTCTTCTATACCAGGTGCTTGGTGGTGCTCTGATCATTGAAAAGATAAATCCTAATTTTAACATAACCAGTTTCCTTGCCTTCTTTCCTGACAACATTCTTCGTAGAAGGATCAGCCGCGGAGGGTTGGAGATGCAAGTCCTGGTTCCCATTTCCATTTCTCATGTGTACATTTTCATGAAGTAGTTCCCCCACAATCCATGTTTCTTGATAGAACACATGGGCCATAGCAAACATAAACATGTGTCCAGAAATAAAAGATGTGATCAAAATGGACCTCACTCTTACACCCATTCAACCCCTAAACATGACCTTCAGAAATTGACTTTTAACTTTCAATATTCCCAAAGACTCAGGAAAATTCACGGGATGATTCTCCTGTTTACACTTAAAAGGTCTTAGCCATTTCTGGGAACACTGGCAGGACCTCGCCATCCTGTAGATCATTAACTCACCGCGGGCTGGCACTGCCCCCCATCGTGCTTGAATCTGCCCCAGCTCTCCAGCCAGAAATTGTACATAGGAGGTGAAGAAAAGCACGCATAAACAGCTGTGTTTTCCTTTTTTCTTGCCTTCACTGGGAGAGACCCACGTTTAGGTCCATGTTGTGCCCAGCTCAGAGCTCATGAGGACTTATCAACACCTGCTAAGATATTTGAAGATGTTTCTTCATTATCCTTGCTCCCATCATGGTGATGATGGGATAAAGAGGAGAAAGAAAAGAAAAAAGAAAGAAAGAAAGAAAGAAAGAAAGAAAGAAAGAAAGAAAGAAAGAAAGGAAAATGGTCATGTGCAAGCTTTGAACTCTTCAAACAACTCCGAAGGTCAGAGGAGCCTTTGATCATAATGAGATAAAGAATTGGGGCATATTTTTAAACTTTCCTTTGGAACTGGAGGCTCCTGGTGGGAGAGGGGTACAGCGGCCCAGGAAATGGATAACCGTGGGGAGGAGGTGGTGTCATTTCAGAGCACAGCTGAACACATAGAGCTAACCCCCTTTCCTCCTCCATTTAGCAAACATTTGGTTGGCTGTTATACAGCTCCCAGCTCTGCTTCAGAAGGTCTTTGTTTATCTTTGCAAGGACAATTAAGTGACAGGAATGTGTAATATAGTGAAGTGTTGCCAAAACAAACAGCCCTCTTAAAACATGTAGAAGTGGCTATTCTTGCCTGTGTTTCTGCAACAGTCAGAAACCACTTGCTAATAGCTTAATTCCATTTCTCTGCAGACAGGCCGATCCTATTGCAGAAGAGGGAGTATGTGGTCTGCTGGGTAGAGAGAAGTCCTGGAAGCTTGAACCGGCCCACAGTTTCTAACATAGCTGAACAACTGACTCACCCTGGAACCTAGGGTTGCATCGCTAACCCCAGAGGGCTTTTTGTCCATCCAGCTGGAAAATTTGGTAGGATGGGAGACTGGACTGAAAATTATTTGTGGCACAGCTGCTCTGCTTGACCACAGGGTCCGGTCTGAGGCTGCTGGCCCTGCCTGGCTGAGTAACAGCTCTGCAGTGGCTGTGATTAGTATAGGTGAGGCTCACAAGACACGGTGAGAGTTCAGGCCCGTGAGAAGATCCTACAGAGGAGAGGGAAACCTCTCTGCAGAATCAGTAGATGAGTATTTGTACTCTGTGATCCCCTACGGCCTCACTCAATAGTCATATTTCCCTATAAAATGGATCATAAATGGAACTCCACAGCATCTAGATCCCCAGCTCATTGGCACGTGGCGACCGTGCTTTGCAGGGGAGGTACCCTCCATGCCCTATGTGGTCCTTGCTCCAGACAGCCGCAACGTCTGCAGACACTGAGGGTCAGGTCAGCTATGGTGAGACAGAAACGAGCTGGAGGGGAATGAAGAGTAAGCCCTTCCCTGGATCTCCAAAGGGGAGAGAAGCATATGCAACTTTAATGGAAAGATAACTGATTGAGAATTGATGAGTTAGGTTGAAAGAGAAAACAATGCCGAAGGAGAGAATATCCATCTCCTAGGAAAGGGACATTCGGTACCTTGGGTTTCTGATGGACATTAAGCATATCCCAGCAGAAGATAAGTGACTTCAGATCCGAGACCTGGAATGGTCAACATTTCAATCATGCAGGCCTGGCCTTTGAGGGTGATGAAACCTACAAAGATCTAGATGGGTAATATGCAGTTTCTTACTAATCTTATATCCTGCATTCCTCTAAATGGATTCCCCTAAATAAAACCTACAAAAATCTAGATGGGTAATATGCAGTTTACCCTCAGGCACAAGGGAGTTTCCAAGCTGCGTGGGAAACTGCTAAATTGTGCCTGAACGGTCTCTGTTACGCCCACAGTGATAATAATTGGTTTGTGCTTAAGACACCTATTGGCCAGTCTAGTCCTAAAGAGGATGAAGGAGAATGGTTTTGGATAAATAACCATGGGGAGGGAAGCAGAAGTAACAAAAACAGTAACCATATGGCTGATTGCTGTACTAACATCACAAATCCACAGGCAGCCACTGACAGTGACGGCATTTATCTCTTCATCTGGCCACAGATGAAAACTGTCACCCCGGAAGAGGGGCTGAAAGACAGTCTGAGTAGCCTTGTGAATCAAGAGGAAAACACTGACATCATTCTGGGTTGAATGTGATTAATGAGAATGATAAGAGTCAAGAAATGAGAATAAGATAAATTCAGAGGAATCCAAGAGAATCAATGCTTAATAGTAGGATTTTGAGCTTAATTTACCTGAGTAGAGAGGCTGGGCTGACAGAGGACATCCCAAGACCCCTGTGCTCAAATGACTGACAACCACCTTTCATTCTCATTCATTCAGCAAACATTCTTGATTGCCACTCACTGGCACAGTAACTGCCATAGGTACCATGCAGGATTCAAAGATGATAGACAACATGACAATGCATAATATGTAAGCACAGATCCAAAACACATATGACTAACGATAATATATACATGCCAAATCAGTAATTCAGTTATATGGGCATTGCGATTAAAAAAAAGAGATAGAAACGTCATTTATTTAAATAAAATTGAATTGGAAAAGATAGAGCAGTATTCATCACAAAAAGAGTAACATAAATAAGTAGCCAGAAGGCTGATAATGCAAGATATGTTCTATGTATAGGAAGATCCATTTAGGGGAACACAGGATATAAGATTAGTAAGAAACTCTGAATGATAGACTTCATTCTAAAGGCAATGGGAATATGTGGGTGTTTGGGTCATTCATTTATTCATTCATTCAACAACCATTGCTGGAGAACCTTATGTATGCCAGGTCCTTCGGCGGCTTTGGAAATTTAAGAAAAACAAGAATTTGTCCCTCCCTCAAAGCACATACACTGTAGTAGGAAAACATTCTGCAAAGAACTAACTGGCAGAAAGTGACACAGTAGCATAGGGAATACGGCCAGCTTTGATATCAGGTTTAAACTACACATGTGCCACCTACGAGCCACTGGACCCAGACAAATTACTTACAATTTTCATCTGTAAAATGAATCTAATGATGGCATCTGTTCCATAGGGTTATCATGAGGCTTAAGAAAAGTAATGAATATAAAGCATTTAATAGAATTCTGAGCATACTGAAACACTCAATGAATGTTTACAATCAAAACAATCATTTTCAACGCTGTTACTAGTATCTACAGAAAAGAAGCAATCAGCGCCACTGGAGGGAGAAGAGATGTGTCCAATAGGAAAGCTTCTCAGAAAACAATGGTATATCAGCTTTTGAGGGGATATGTTGAAATTCACCGAATATGGGGGTCGGAGCCTTCCAGGTGACTTGCAGAAAGGCATGGAGACAGGCAACAGGACTTTGAAGGTCTTGTGAAAGAGTTCTAGGTGGCTAAGCATCAGGGCACAGAGGCGTGTAGGACAGTAGCTGGCACCGGGCTGGACAATTGTCTTGAGCCTGGTATGCCTGTGAATCAGAGAGCAACCTGTCAGCTTCAGGGCTCCTTACTCTGGCCAGAGTCTCAGAGCTTCGGCTGTTCCTTGTTGGTTTTCATCACTACCAGCTTGCCATTTGAGATCTGGTTTCCTCTATGACTAGCTGAACAGGGTAACAACATTGACCCAATTCTAGCCACTGATGAATGAGTTTGAAGGGTAGTGGTCTGTGAGTGAGTCCCCGGTCTCTACACCTCTCCCCCTGCTTATAAGTACTATCCCCTGACTTCCACTCCTGACCCTTGTCATGCAGGTATCATGCTGTTTCTTGTCTGGGTGATATTCCTTCCTTTTCACCCATCTATTACCTGTCCAACTTTTAAGACTCAAACCAAAAATTACTTTCCATCCCTTGTTCTTGGATAGAACAATTCAGCACCAAAAAAAAGGGGGGGGGGTCAGTTTCCCCAAGTTAATTTATAAATTTGATGCATTCCAATACAAATAACAAAAAATTTTTCCACAATGGAGCTACATAAGTTGATAGTAAAATTAGAAAAACAAAATAAGAAAAGTTAAGAGGACTAAGCAGATTAAAAGATGTTATAAAGCCTCTATAATTAAAACAGTAGGATACTGCTGTGTGGACAGGCAAACAAGAATAGAATTAAAAAAAAAAGTAGATCCAAGAACCTATGGAAAATTAGTGCATGAAAAAGGTAGTATTTTAAATCATTAAAACAAAGATGACTGCTTTAATGAAGCTGCTGAGACAAACTGGATAGCCATTTGGAAAAGGGTAACACTAGACTCATATCTCATGTTGTAAATAAGAATAATCATCAATGAGCCAAAGACAAAAAAAATGAAGAAAAAAAGGTAACCACACAGACGGGAGAAGAATATGTGGGTAAATTCTCTATAACTTTGGTGTAAGGAAAGACTTTTGACTATGACATAAAAGCCAGAGGCAATAAAAGAAAACATTTGGGACCTCTGGATGGCTCAGAGGTTGAGTGTCTGCCTTCAGACCAGGGCGTGATCTTGGAGTCCCGGATCGAGTGCCACATCGGGCTCCCTGCATGGGGTCTGCTTCTCGCTCTGCCTATGTCTCTGCCTCTCTGTGTGTGTGTCTTTCATGAATAAATAAATAAAATCTTAAAAAAAAAGATTTAAAAATTCACACACACAAAATGCTGCATGTCAAAAAAAAAACCACTATAAACAAAGTGGACAAAGACAAACTGGAAGCTATTTGCAACATATATTATAGAAAAAGAGCAAATATCCCTAACACACAGGGATGCCTGGGTGGCTGAGCGGTTGAGCATCTGCCCTTGGCTCAGGGTGTGATCCCTGGGTCCTAGGATCAAGTCCCACATCAGGCTCTCTGCATGAAGCCTGCTCCTCCCTCTGCCTCTCTTTGTGTGTGTCTCTCATGAATAAATAAGTAAAATCTTAAAAAAAAAATTCCTAACCCATAAAAAATTCATTTAAAAATCACAAAAGAGAGGGCAGCTTGGGTGGTTCAGCGGTTCAGTGCCACCTTCAGCCCAGGTCATGATCCTGGAGACCCGGAATGGAGTCCCACGTCAGGCTCCCTGAATGGAGCCTGCTTCTCCCTCTGCCTGTGTCTCTGCCTCTCTGTCTCTCTCTGTCTCTCATGAATAAATAAATAAAATCTTTAAAAAAAATCTTTAAAAAAACCAAAGAGATATAAGAGATAAATGTGAAGAAGGTAGAAGAGGTGCGGGAGTGACACTTCTCTGAGCATTTTTGTATAGTTTTGACTTTTGGAATTATGTTTATATACTCAAAACAATTATGCAATAATAACATTTTTATAAATGGGGAAAACAAAACCTAAAATGGAATGCAAACAAAAATAAACTAAACTGTATTTCAAATCAATGACATAATCTTACCAAAGAAGGGGAAACAACTAACCCAGTTAATTTTTGAACACTGTATCATATACTGTCAGACTAAATATAACAAGAACTATAAATAAATATGAACTCCCGGATAGCTGAATCTGCTACAGTTTGTTGCAGCTGTATGGGTCAGTAAATATAAAACTGCTTTCAGTAGTCTTACAGTCTTACAGGATTCAACAAGTAAATATATTGAGGTTAATGAGGCAAGATTTCTTATTTTCAGAGAAGGTTGTGTTGGATTAGAATTGGAGTTGTTAATATGGCCTAATGGTTTATTTTATAACATTACAGATATATATTTTACTTCTATATCTTTATAGGTATATAGGTATAAATGTTATGTGTACATCTATGCAGATATAGAAGTATGTATGGATGCATGTATACATATATCTATTTATTATGTCCACTGAGAAGATCTAGAAGCAATGACATTCCAGTAGCAATGGATACTCCTATGGCCAGATTTAATTTCTGAATTTCAAACTATTCTCCACTAAAAGAAAACAGAGTTATTTGGAGACATGGCTGATTTCACAGCTAGCATAGGAAAAGTTCAAGATGAATCTGGAATATCTTCTTGTACAACAAACTAAGGAAATTGTCCAAGAATAAGGGCATAGAAGGGGTCCCTATGGCCAAATCCAGGATAATGGAAGAATTAAAATAAATGATACTTACAGATTATCTATTGAATAAAATAGGGATCCGTAAGTTCATACTGATATGAATAAATGAATGAATGAATAAGTGAGGGAGTAGAAAAAGCTATTCCCTATAATATACTGCCACAAAATAAATATAAAAGAAATGGGGGATCTCTGGGTGATGCAGCAGTTTAATGCCTGCCTTCAGCCCAGAGTGTGATCCTGGAATCCCGGGATCGAGTTCCGCATCGGGCTCCCTGCATGGAGCCTGCTTCTCCCTCTGCCTGTGTCTCTGCCTCTCTCTCTCTGTGTCTCTCATGAATAAATAAATAAAATCTTTAATATATATATATATATATATATATATATATATAAAAGAAATGAAAGATCTTTAAAAATCATTTCACAAATATCCTTGTAATAATCTATTCAGCAAGAACCATCAATAGAAGTTAAAACTAGTGGGTGAAAGATTGATTTGATAAGAAGTGGTATATCTACCTTGTCTCAAAATATCTTCTCACAAAATCCTTATTAATGACAAAAGGAAATGGTAGGTTTAAAGAAGCAAGCCAGGCAAACACCTTCTGAACCTTGTAATCCAATTGAATATTCCCAGTAATGGGACAAATTGATATCATATACCTAGTGATGTGATGCACTTAGAAAGACACAGCGTGACATCTGTAGTGCTCCTGCCAAAAATGCATAAGCTTACTGCCATTGTGAGCAAACATTACAGACACTGAAATCAGACTTTCCTCTTTGGTTCATATTTCTCTGCAAAGATTTCTATCATGCATTTATCACATGCACTGCAAATATGCACTGATGGGTCCGCTTCCTCCTGGACTTAGGTTCTTAGAATCAGGGACGAGGTTATTTATCTCTGTATCCTTCTAACTATATTGCCTTCTTATGCATAACTCAATAATCGCATGTATTATGCTATAGTTCAAATACTACTTTGCCTGGTTTTCTCCCTTGGTTTAGTAAGAAAATCCAACTGATAATGGATTAAATAAGAAAGGCACTTCATTACCTTATAGAGAATTACATCTAGATGCCCACAGTTCCAAAGTTGGATTAGCAGCTTCATGATTTTATGGGATTTCGTGAGGATCTCTGATTCACTGGCCTTTCCTTCAATTTCAAGATGGTAACTACTGCTTTATGTATCATGGTCTTGGGGAACAGGGTACCAAGAAGCAGGGAAGTAGGTGGTTGGCTCAGGCCTTTCATCAAGAGGAGAATTCTTCCCTAAATCCTCGGTAGATTTCCCTTGAAGTCTCATTCACAGGCCAATTCCTAGACAAACCACAAATCAGCCTCTCTGGCCAAACGCATTACTGTCTGAACAAAACCGGGGTTCTGGTAAGAAGGAAGAACACAGGGGATCTACCGAGTGGGCAGCATTAGTGCCTGCCATCCTCCACTAAACTGTAAATTCTCTGATGGCAGAAACCAGTCCTTACTCATTTTTATTTATTTACGTTTTACTTCCAGGGTATAGCATAGCACCTGACCACAGATGCTCAATAAACATTTGTTGAATGAATAAAAATGACCAAGCATGGATAGTATAAGAAAATAACAAACATGGGGAAGTAACAAAGTTACGGAAATGTACAAATTCTTATAATCTTGGCCTCTGGCCTCTAACTCTCAATTCCCTTCACTGAATGTAACTCCGAGAAAGGAATGAGTCATAAAAGTGGGTTGTATCTCAGGGCTGTTGATCTAGCATGAGTAAGATGGAAAGTCGGAAGCTTATGGGCAGAGAGACTGGGATAGCTGTTGAGATGCTTTGAATTCAAAAATGGACAGCTGAGATTGTGCACGGGAAGCGTGCACAGCAAGGGCAAACTCCACGTGCCCCATGAAAGGCATGGTTGCCGGAGATTCTGCGATCACACCCAGAAGCTGCACAACCATCCCAAAGAGGCAAAGAAATGGACTCTTCGATATTTTAGGAGCAAAGAAACCTTTGCCCAAAGCATAGTGGTATCTCCTCACATTTCTTCAAAAAGAATTTGGCCACATGCCCATTCCTAAACCAGCCACTGGAAAGGGGACTGGAATTAGTGTGGCTGATTTAGGTTGACCGTTCAGGGTGGGATGGATGCCAGTGAGAAAGTGGCATGGGGGCGAGACCTGTGTAGGGGTGATTGCTGCAATGCAGATTAAGAAATTTCAAAAGCCTGAACTCTTTTTATTTATTGCGGGTAAAAATAGTTATGGAAGTAGGATGTAAGAGATATTTTAAAGAGAAAACAGTCACTCATTGAACATGGTTGGGGGGGGGTGCAGTGAGAGGAAGAAATCCAAGAGGTTCTGAAGTTGCCTTTCTCCTCAAAATTGATCTATGGCAACAGGGGATAGGGAACCACTTACTATTTCCAGAAACTTGGAACCTATTCCCAGACTTCAAGTTCAGTTGTGGTTAA